GGTGAAAAGTTGAACCTTGATCAAGCAAATGAGTAAAATAAAGTGCAATATGAATTTGTTGGGCTGGCAATGCAGCAAAACCGAGCTTAGTTATATACTGTTCCCAACGCCTTAATGCATAAACATAAGATTTTGTAGTATTGTCACTTCTGCTTCCTAGTAGTAATTTTCACATCTTATGATAAATCTGAAATAAAGGACTGTATTTTGTAACTCCACTCTTCAAAACAGCTGCCTCTACGTGCTGATTAATCTTTAAACCTATTGTAAATATAACAATATCAAAATTTGATTTTCAAAGCAACAAGTCTAATGTTGATTTATAGTTTACCAAAAAGACCATGTTGGCTTCTTCCTTTTTAGATCAAGTTATATCTATGTAAATATTTGTTATCGACTAACATATTTTGAAATTTCGATTCGTGTGTTAACATACACCAGTACTGGTGCTGAGCTCCACTCCAGTACAATCAAAGTACCTTCACAACGTTCTGTTGTCAATTTGTTGATAACCTTTCTAATTAGTGCAGGAGAAGGCACTAACCAATTGTTCTCATTTGTCCAGTTCTGTTTTAAAGCATCTATGCCTGAGGTACCTTTGCAGTAAAACTTAGAATTTAAACATTTTGCATTTTGTGTTGTAATCGCATGCAAAACGGTCACATGTGAAAATACCCCATAAATCATTTAAATATTCAAAAATCCATGGCTGAATACCCCAGTCATCACAATCTGAGTGTCTACTTACTTTATCAGCTTTAGTATTCAATTCTCTAGGGATCCAGTCACATGACATGTCAATTGAATATTTTATATATATTTTAATATATGAATCGCGTACAGGCATAGCCTTTTCTTGTAAATAAGGTTTTTTGCTTCCTACTTTAAGGATTGGATACATTTGTATTATCGGTGTGTATTTTAACTGATTTCCCCTCTGTCCTACTAACAGAGTTCTTTAAAACCCTGTCTTCGCCTTGAACTCTCTCCAAGTTGAACTCTGTTTCATTTCAGTATTTGACCAACTACCAAACATATTTGGTTCATTTGATTCATTTGTTGAATCAAAGATCAAATGACCACTATAGCCTACATCAGAGGCATCACAAAATATCTGTACATTTTTAGATGTAACGTCTGTGAACTGACTCAGTTTAGAATCCTTTTCATTGAGCTTGTCTATATTTTTGAGAAAGAAATCAAACTCGGCAAACCCTGTTCAATACCACCAAAGAATGCCAACTGGCTTTTGCTAAAATGCAATCTTAAGAAAACCGAGTTCTCATACGAACTTCATCTCCTATTACTGCTTGTGCAGAAATAATTTGACCTACTATAGAAGCCAAAGATTTTACTTTCACCAAAACGTTCATATTGCATCTTATTTGCAAAAACAAACTGTTTAAGCAGTCCTTCAATTCTACGACTTTTTTTTTCACTCAATCGTATTAGACCTTCGATCACATTCCAATCGAACCCGAGCCACGTAACTTGTTTATTTCCCCTAAAACAAATCGAGGATTATCCTCCGCTGACGTATTGTTTTTAATTTCAACCTTACCTGGTATTACCATAAACAGTATTTTATATCCATTGTTTATTACATCTAAAATATATTAATTTGCGCCTATCGAAAACCATTTTGTAATGTGAGTTCTGCCGGCGATACAGTGTTTAAATTTGAGATGTCAATTTCATTGTTTTGGTTGTTCATTTAATTACAAAGGGGTTCTCTTTTTTTGTATGTGTATTTACTATTACTGTTATTAATATCAAACAGAAAAACATTACTTATCTTATCACTTTGTCGGTTTTGTCTTGCGTCTCTTGTCACTTCTGGACATTCTCTTCTCCCGTGACCTGCCTTATTGCAGTTAAAACATTTCCCTGGTCTCTCGATGTGGGTTGTTCTTGTGGGAACAGTGTACGGAGCTGGTGATCTACAACTCTCCAACCTGCTTCTGAGGAGTCCGCTAGTTTTATTAATTTCTGTCTGTCTCTAATTAAACCCATACCTTCTGTAATCTTGTCCTTGGCCGACTCGATATTATCATTCGTGAGATTCAGCTCACTGTTCACTTCCCTGAACTTCACAAACACTTTACTGTTATGCTTGTGTTGCTCCTCGTCCCCAACTTATTTCCACTTATAGTTATCGGACAGTGTCTCGTCTAGTTTTGTCATTTGGGACTCCGCTAAGCGGATCTAAGTTGATTGGTAATTCTTGTTGAAACATTCAAGGCGGTTATCTATGAAGGTGGTCATGCTAATCAACAATGTTGTCTGTGAGTTTTGAAATGCAGCTTGAACTTCATTTTGTATTTCGGATCGGATTTCGGCGTCCATCTTAGGTTGAGTGTTCTCTCGTTGCACGACAGCTAGAAAGTGACCCTATGCTTTCTTACCAGAAAGTACACCAGTGGTCGCTGTAAGTGACCCTATTATATATTCATACGACCAGTACCCGTCAATACAATATGTTCCCGCTATACCTAAACAAAACGCGGGAAAAAAATTAAAATGTTTAGATTTCAGAATAAGGAGTCATTTTGACAAGTCCAAAATAATATCATTTTAATCAATTCTAGCAATAATAAAATCAAAAGGGGATTAATGGCTGGTATAACATTGAGAAATTCTTAAAACAATCAATTTCGAGCCCAAGTTTCATGTTTTTGAACATAGCGTTTCTGGAAACCATGCGCAAACGATGCGCTTGGATCTCTTCAACAATACCTATATAGCCATACCCAGTGACGCCCCAATTACTTTCTCTAGAAGTCCAACTTTTATCCAACTTCGAGTCCTAGTTTCAGATTTTGCAACATAGCGACTCTGGAAAATTTGCGCAACGATGCACCTGTATCAACTCCCCAATATTTGTATTTCCATTCCCCGTGATACCTCCATTATTTTTCTCTAGAAGTCCTTCAATAGGCAAACCCCTACTTTTGGTCTGCATTTTTCAAATTTCGAGCCTTAGTTTCAGATTTTGGGACATAGCCTCTCGAAAACATCGCGCAAACGATGCGCATATATCTGTTCTACCATTCCTCTTAGCCATACACCATGATACCCCTCATTAGTTTTCTTTAGAAACCTAGAATAGGCCAACCCCGTATTTTTAGTCCGAATTTTTTCAAATTTCGAGCCCTTGTTCAGACTTTTTAACAAAGAACTTCTGCAAACCTGACGCATCTCCTCTACAATTTATATTGCAGTACCAAGTGACACCCCTATTAGTTTTCTAGAAGTCCTGGAATAGGCAAACCCCCTTTACTTTGGTCATTCCTTTTTTTAAAATTTTGAGCCCTAGTTTCAGATTTCGGAACATAGCGCCTCTAGACACTTTTAAAACATCGAGCCCCCCGAAACCTTGTGCAAACAATCTGCCTTTTTTCTCCTCTAAAATACCGCTATAGCAACACCCCCATGACACTCTCCACTATGTTTCACCAGAAGCCCCTGCATGGGCCAACTTATCCCAATTTTTTTTTTCGAACATCGAGCCTCTGGAAGCCTTGCACAAACAATGCGCCTGCATCTTCCCTTCAATACCTATATAACGATACCCAGCGACATCCCCCATTATTTCTCTAAAAGCCTTTGAATCGACCAACCCCACCCTTTTTTTATTTTGGTTCAACGTTAAAAAATGTCGAGCACTTATTTAAGATTTTGGCCAACACCCACTTCTTTTCTGTACTTCAGCCTTTCTACTCTGATTGTCATGTTGTTATATTTAAAGTTTTTTTCACAAATCAATTTCAATAGCTTTCAATGTTCTCTAGTTACATGCTTGTATTTGACAAAATTAATTTCAATCACTGGCCTTAACAACCAATTTTTTTGACAGATACAGATTTCATTTGAAACTTAATGTTACTCTCAAAAGGAGCAGGGCTTGTTTAATTTTTAGATTTGGTAAATCACATTTTAAGATAGAGCTGTAACTTGCAATTTCTGGACGGAATTTTATGCCTTTTTAATATATTTTTTCTCGAACGGTTGTTGCTTTCTGTTCTATTTTTACGGTTTTTAGATTTATCGCCCTATTGTACAAATGTACATTAGCTTCAGCCTGGTTATTATAGTTTTATCCAAAATATGCTTGATTTAAGAGTGATGCATATTATATTCGCTTACGTCAGGTACTACCAAAAATATAAAGAACCGAAAAACTATGTATCAAATTAATTATATGTACATGCAATAATTGTATTTGTTTTTTACTAGTTGCACTTACATCCTGTGTACCTCATAGCAGAACATTTGCAAATGGAGATACAATAATCTTTCCCGATGTGAAGACGTATTATGGATATTCTAACATTGAAGCTTATAAAAGAACAGGGAATTTCATCTGCACAGTTCCTGGTTTTTTATGGTAACAATATTGTCAAAAACTGATAATGCCAATTTTTAAATGTATAAAAATACGTCATTTCTTTCGAATGGCTTTGTGTCTTCTGGCGCAGGAAGTGAATATAACTCTGAAACGTCCGCGGTAGTAACCTAGTAAGAACAAAACGACACTATATACGTGAGGGCTAGTTATACATTTGAGGCAGATGACTGGGATTCCTGTTTTACTATTGTTAAAGTTCATTAATTCCGTGTTTATAATCTAATGTTTGACCAATTTAATATGGTATACTGATTATTAGTTTAATATTGATTCTTGCAGATAGTATTTGTTACACATCAAATGATATAGCTCGTCCACTGATACATACTAAAGATTTATGTAGTTATTGACTGACATATATGTACAATATTGAATGACAAACCTTCAACAGAGTGTTGTCAAACATCGTTTTCTCTTATACTTGTACTAAATAACTATCACATATTAGTTAACTTCCTTGTATGTCTCCACTACTCGAAAATAAATCGATATCAGTAAATTCGAAAAAAAGGCAACAATATACAAGAATAAATACATCTATAAAGAAAACATCTCTTTTCAGCAGCATCATATAGAATGTAAAAAATGGGCGAACATTTGAAAATGTTTTTAATTATACAATTTCAATTTAGACGACGACATAGTTGTGTAAATTCCTATAATTATTCATCAATCTAAACTCATCTAAGTATTCAGATTTGTAAGTTTAGATGTCATGTTTTAAGAAATTATTATCCATATATTTATTAAAAAGTATATAAAGTGCAAGTGGAATGCATTGCAAACCTCAGATGTCAGTTACATTATTTTATGGAGATACATACATTATTATACTGATGTAATGCAATGTTTCAGCTTTAAACCAATACGTGCATTTTTAGTCAAACATTTTTTTTTTATGTGTGAACATTGAAAGGTGTGATTTACTATAAAAATACAGGTGCACTTTGAAGAGCTTAAAGTTCATCTAATCACCAATTAAATCATATAAAACATTCAAATTAACATTGTATAACAATTGTTGTTCTTCCTGGTATTCCCCTATTTCAGAAAAGTAGGCTTTTTAGCTCGCTTTACAACTTCCGGTGTACCACCAGTGTTAACTTGTCGTAAACATTGCATTATCTGTAAAGAATCATCAATGAAAGATTGAAATACGTATTTCTTTTACCACTATTATGATAAAATACGCTGTAATTAGAAACAAGAACAACGATTCAAAGCAAAACATTGGTATACAATATAAGACACTAGACAAAAGGAATAGGGACATTAAGGCTATTTGCGTCAACACAAACAGGATTTTTTTTAGAACTGTTTAAATTGTATTCATATCAAAAAAACATTTAAAGAAAAAATTCTCAAATCATCTTTGACATCTCTTGGGTTTATCAAATATCTGACAAAACTAGAACAGAAAGCGTATTCATAACTACAATAAACATATGTGTATTAGGTAGTAATACATTCTGTTTTATTCAATATCTGATGTGGTCGAAGTTTCTTTAAAAAAAATATTTTATTTCTTTTTGTAAAAAGAAATATTTTTTTATTCTTCACTTCTCATTAAGAATTTTCCATTCTGTAACTTCATGATCTTTTCTGTACTTCCAAATTATTCTCTTATATTAGTTTTTTGCAGAATTATCTCTATTCCTTCACTTTTGACAATTTTTCTCAATGGTGTTATACTTGCTCATTATTCTCTATTCTCTAAACCACGTCAAAACCCTCATACATAGACAACCACAGGCAATATTTGATTTTGTTGTCGTTATAATATATAATGATATGTTATTAAATTATAAAGCTTATAGTGACTCATACTTTTTATATATTTCAGAATCTTTGTTTTATATTTTGATCTCATTTACATTTCAACAAATCGAAAAGTCAAACTTCGAGTTTTGTAGATTCAATGGTTTACAAGCACCTGAGAGATCATCCCGGTTTTTTGCTAGGGTTCATGTTGCTCATTCTTTAGTTTTCTATGTTGTGATTTGCATACTGTTGTTTGTCGTTTTATGCCATGGCGTTGTCAGTTTATTATCAACTTATGAGTTTGAATGTCCCTTTGGTATCCTCCCACTCTCTTTTTCAAAATTTCGATATAGAAAAGGCTCTAATATTAAAACAAGTATCATAAAAATCAAGATTTAATCAAGACTGAAAATAATCTTGTGTCAGAATATAACATATCAAACTCTAAAAAAACAGCGGAAAAGTCGTCCTTGCTACACTACATCATCAGAATAAGACTTGTTACCGGGTTTGTTCTAACACGAACAACACGACAGATGCCACATGTGAAGAAGGATCTGCTTACCCTTCCAGACCACCTGAGATCATCCCAGTTTTTGGTGGGATTCGTGTTGCTCATTCTTTAGTTTTCTTTGTTGCGTTTTGTATACAGTTGTCTTGTCTTTTTGATTTGATTCCATGACGTTGTCAGTTTAATTTCCACTTAAGAGTTTGAATGTCCCATTTATATCCTTCGCCTCTCTTTTCTAAAATTTCGATATAGAAATTATTCTTATTTTACAACAAATATCATAAAAATCAATATTTTATTAAGAGTGAAAATAATATTGTGTTAGAATACAACATACTAAACCAAAAAAACAGTTGAAACGTCGTCCTTGAGCTACATTGTATATTTGTTCTGTCTAACAGACATTATTTCATAGAAATTGATCCAATATCCACCCATTTAGGTGCGAATCATATCTCTGGCCTTACATTGATACTGTGCTATGTACGCAATGTTTCGGGTTATTTCGGAAATGATTTTATTCCAGGGAAACCTTCATCAGAGACCACCCCTATTGTTTTTGTTTTGTTTTTTCATTTATTTCTTTTTTATTATTACTATTTTTTCTTTAATTTATCAAAGTTTTAATTTTTAATTTTTTAATTTTTTAATTTTTTAAATAGTTTTTGAATTGTGTTTTTAATAATTACACTTTTAAATTTGTTTTATTTTTATTTTAGTTTTCTTAACTTTTTCAACCAATGTTGAATTAATTACGCGTTTCATAGTACAAACTTGTCCTCATAAGAATATCAGTTTACATGATGGTCATTAATTAGTTCCGCACAGTTAAATGTTTAGTAGGAACTGTGAGGTTTAGATAAATTATTTTATAGTTCGTTTAACTAATTCACCAATGTTTCTGTTTCTTTTGAATCCTATTGATAGGTTTTTATGGAATTTAGCACCTATTGTAGAATCCGTTTTAATAAGATGCCAGTATTTCCTGAATACTTTTTGAAGTTTTTCTGCTTGAGGATGATAATTTGTAATGAATGATATATTATATTTATTTTCAACTTTGTTCTTTTTCTTTAATTTATCTTGTCTGTCTTGGAATTTGATTTTTGATAGAATTTGTTCTACCTATTTCAGTTGATATCCTCTAATTAATAGTTTTTCAATAAAGAGATTTTTTCTGGTTTGAAATTCACTGTCAGTATTGGTGTTTCTAAGTATACGAATGCCTTCGCCTTTAATAAAGGATTTAAAGTTTGAAATGGGGTGGTTTGAGTTTTTATGAAGATATTGGAATTTTTCGGTTTTCTTTGTAAAACATTTCAGGTCTAAAACACCAGTATTTTTGAAGCGTTCGCCCTTGAAGATTTCAAGGTCTAGAAATTTTATGGAATGATTATTGCATTCATAAGTGAACTTTAGCAGGTCATGTTGTTTATTTGCATTTTCAAACAGAAAATCAATTTCAGACTCTTTTGCTTTTACCATCAGTAGTCCGTCATCTCTCATTCTTTTATGAAAATTATTTTTTTCAGAGATTGGAGAGTTTTCAAGGATTGAGTTTATGTTATTGTAAATATCAATGTCACATATTTCAGGGGAAGCTGTTGCTCCCATTGATGCTCCAATGATTTGTCGATATGAATTTCCATAAAAGGTAAATTCGTTATTGGAAAGGATGAGTTTTGTTATTTCAATCAAAAATTTGTTGGTAGGTTTTGTTATAGAAGATTCAATTTTTTCATGTTCATCAAGCGCTTTTTGTAAGGCTTCTGTGATTTCTTCAAATCTGAGATTGGTATACAGTGATGTTATATCATAATTTATGTAACAAGTAGTACATTATTATCAAATGTACAGTTTTCAATATTTCTGATTAAGTCACCTGTATCAGAAATGTATGTTTTTTGTGTTTTCACTAAGGGAAGTAAGAAATAATCTAAATATCTCCCTAACCTTTCAAGTGGTCCATTACACTGTGATATTATTGGTCTACCAGGGACATTTATATTTGTTATTTGATTATTCTCGTTTTCAATGTTTTGTAAAACTTCACTGTCCAGTTTGTGAATTTTAGGGAGGAAGTATGCAAAAGGTGTTTTTATATAATTTTGTTCATTTTTAATGTATTTGAAAGATATTTCATCAATACAGTTTTCTTCTTTCATTTTGTAAATTACTTCATATACTTTTTTCTGAGTGTTTTTAAGATTTATCTCTTTGATTTGTTCATAATGTATGTTGTCATTCAATTGTTTTTAACCTTCTTTCAGGTAGTCGGAAATATTTTGAATAACTGTTACATTATTTTTATCTGCTTTATGAATGATGATATTTTCATCGTGTTTTAGATTCTTCAGGCAGTTCCTTTCTTGTAGTGAAAGGTTAAATTGTGTTTTAGGGATATATTTAGATAATTCCATTTTCGTATAGAAAATATATTTTTCAATAGGGTTATCGGCAAACGTCGGCACCGAAAATTTAGATTTCTCCTTGAAGGGATGAATTTTACTTTGTATATTTGGATTTTCAAGGAAAAAGTATGAGAGTCTCAGATTCCTTTCAGTTTTTTTAAAATCTTTCATTATTTGTTTTATGGATGTTTTTGTTGTTGGAACAAAGTTTAGTCCTTTAGCAAGAACTAGTGTTTCTGGTTGTGATAATGTTTTTGATGATAGGTTCAGCACAAATTGTTTTGCAATTTTCAGCTTGATTTCTTGTTTATGTAATTTTATTTTATTTTTGACGGCTTTGAATTTTTCAATGTTTTTAGACTTTTTCTTGTTTTTATTAAGTCTTCTATGTTTTCCCATGCTTTTCTTTTTGCATTTGTTAAGAATGTTATTTTGTATTATTTCATATACTTAAATATGATTTTGAATTACTTTTCTCATTGGATGTTTTTAATTTTGTAATGACCACAAGGGGTGTGTCCTTTTCATCATTGTTTTGGTTAGTATCTATAATTGCTATCTAGATCAATCGTGGATACGCAGTAGGCAATAAATAAACAAATCTAGGGATATTATATTTTTAGGTTTATTGATTTACTGTCATTAATTTGCAATATATCAACAATCGAAATAAAAGCAAAAGTAGAGTTTAGGTATTTAAGTAATCATTTGATAAAAGACAAAAGTTTAATGTCGATTCTATATAATTTAATAAGTAATGATTACAGGTTTATCTCACATGAAATAATTATGAAATTTATGGTTCATTAATATTCGTTTAAATCCATATGTATAGGAATGAGATATTATCCTTGTTTATTCATGATTAGTTTTCACGTTATGCATATAATCAGTTACTTGTGTTTGGCTAACAGTTTGGCTAGTTCATTCAGTACTTGTCCATTTCCATTCTTCTTAGTATCCGGTTTCCTTCTGCTAGTAGTACTCTTTTTGGTTTCATGTTTCAAGCTTTTAGAGTAGTTCCTTAGACGTTTTTCGAATTCATCATTAATTTCCCTAGACTTTCTGTTTATAAGGTTTCTCGCTTCACCACTTTTTTCCGTAATAACTCCAATAGTTTCTATTGTTTCAGTGTATGCACTATTTAACATAACATTCAGTTTATCAATATGTTCTTTCAGTACTTGTATGATAGAATCCTGGAGATTGTCTATTGCGGGTTTCAAGGTTTTATTTATATCTGCATTGACATCATTGTCGGTCTTTGGTCCTACGTTTCCATTGAAATGCACGGATATTATTCCAGATTTAATGGAGTGTTTCTTTTGGAACTCCAACAAAGTTTTCATTGTTAAAAGAGGATATCTTCTCCTACTAAGTTCTGTAATAGTTTGCACTCCCTCTTCAGCTATTTCGATTTCATCTTTAGGTTTTTGACTGTT